TGTGCATGTTACTTCCAGAATTACTACGACTGTTACTACCAGTACTGCTGTACCTGTTACTATAAGTGTTAGTCCTGAGTCTTTCACTAAAAGAGTGCCTGAAACTTTTACTTGAAGTGTTCTGTCGCAGTTGGTAAAGCCATTTTATTAGTGCTGGTGATATTAGATTGACACCTACCTTGTTTTCCTTTATACTTGCATCATACAAAAACAATAACTGTACAACCTTTTCTGGACTTTGTTTGCCATTTCCGTAACTTGGGTACCATCTGCTTGGCCCCGCCCACATGCCTAGCAACTGGGATGACTACAGAAGAGAAGGGGATCAGCAATGCAGTTGGGGCAGACATGCACCAGAAGACTTTTGAAAAGGCAGAGCACTGTACAAACCACTGCTTAATGAATTGGTGTATGTGTGGAACCCATAATGGTAATTACTCCCAAAGACCTTTCAGGTCACAACTGTACAAAAAATAATGCACAAAGAGGAAGTCTTCCCAGAGCTTTTTTTTTGTAGAAGTGGGGCATTGTATCTTCTTTTTTGGATCTTTTTTAAGATTTCTAAGTAAGGTAGAGGGAATCATTCCCCTTGTAGCTCTTCAGGAGTGATGGCCAAGAGTTGGCTATAAGCCCAGATAAAGACTTGATGTGTAGGAAGAAACATACCAAAAAGAAACATAAAAAGCCCATGCCTGCTTTTATCTAAAATCTTTCACCATAAAATCCCTCAACCTCCCGCAGTGCCCCTATCTCCCCATAGTGACAATCAACCTTACCTTATCTTTGAGAATATTATTTTAAGTTTTGAATTCCCATTTATATTTATATATATATATATATATATATATATATATATATATATATATATAATTTTTTTTTCAACTTTTGGGACATGAAAGGTTTTGGAAAATGTCTGGCCTCAGTCTCAAAAAGGTTGAGAACCACTGCTCTACTGTAGATTATAACTGCAGAGAGAAATGGGCTGGATCAAGGATATTAGGGCAAGGGTGAAATCTCACCTCTGGAGGTGTCCTTCAATATAAGAAACAAGTGAGTAGGTTCTTTTATCAGTCACTAAAATATCTGTTTTGGGTTGACTAATGCTTTATAACATAATAATTTCACAGACCAGGCTGAGCAAACAGAACTTTACTGAGTCAACAGTTCTGTAATGTTATAAACTGAACCAATATGAACGCAAGTTAGCAAACCAACACTAACAGCAAAAAATGTTTTAAAAAAATACAGCTAATTTGTGAAGCTGCAAAATGGTCAATTTACTCAGCATAATTCTCATACTGTAATTTTCATATTGAGAGAAATTTAGAGGGGAGGAAATTGCATTAGCATTCTGTAGTTTTGAAAACTGTGTATTACATATAATAGGCTAATGATTACATTGAAAAATATTATGTCTAAAATTTGCACATCACCCATGCCCTGATCAACACAAAACATAAATCAGGATGGTAATAAAAGTGCCCAGAGTAAAAGTCTGTGTCTAAATGGCATTGTTTTTTAGGCATAGAAAGGACAATGATTATGAATAAATGATAATGGATGAACCAAGCACCCAGTCAATCCCAGGTTTGTGCTGGCAGCTTCATTTGCCATGCCCCAGTCACTGTCATTATGAGGTGTCTGGCCACAAATACCAATTGTGGCAGATGTTTTGCACTGATATAGAACTGTGTCTATGTATTGCAAACAAGCCAGCTATTAGAATCAATGGGGAAGAGGAAGGTAGGAGATATCATGGTTGTGTTGTGGTGGTGGTGTATCAAAAGTGCAAGCAAATCCCAGATATGTGGTTGAAGATTCAACAGGCCAAATTATAACAGCTAGAGGATGTAAGGGCACACTTAGCAGGGAAGATAGTGGACATCCAGGAAAGTAGCGATGAGTGAGAAGTGGCCAAAATTGAAAGAAAAACAAACATTTAAAGTTGAGTTTGCATACAGGAGATGAGAGAATAAGCAACCAAGGAGAGAAGAGTTGAAAACTATAGTGGAAAGCAGAGGAAGGTAGAGCATGCATCCTAAGGTGTGATAGCAATGGACTAATTGAAGCGAGGCATTTATATTATTGCATACATCATAGAATTGAGTCTTCCTTCACAGGGACTGATGTGCAGTGAAGATAACAAGATAGCATTAGTTCTGGTCTCAGGCTACCTCTTTTATGGTTTCTTGAAGAACACTGAATGGAAGGAATATTTCTGTGATGGGTATTGAGGAATGCTCAGCACAAAAATTCATGACACAAAAAGGTAAAATCAAAGTATTTATTGAACAAAGGTATCAGTTGACGCCAACAAATTTTTGGGGAAATGTCTCCCCACTTACAGTGCTCAGCATAAATGAGTACAACAGATTTGTCAGAAAACCTTTACTTTGTTTTCAGAATCAATATTTTCTATGGGACACTATACTACAAAATACACCCACAAATGCAGGACAACAAGTTTTTTTTAATTTGCACACACAAAAAAGTATTTTTCCTAATAAATTCATTCAAGATCATGTTGCAAAAATGAATATACCCCAATGAAAGTCTTAGGAGCAAAGCTAAATTTTAGACAACAAAATCCTGATTAACAAGAATTCAACTACAGGTAAGTTGAATTATTCATTAAACAGGTGTCCAGCAGACAGTTGATTATAAAAGGGCATTACTTAACAGAAAAAAACCCTTCACATTTCATGCTGTCAGCAATAGAAGTGTCATAAGGCCTGAGAAAGAAAATTATTTCTTTACACAAGAAAGGTGAAGGCTACAAGAAGATCATCAAAGCTTTACTTATCAGTCAGAATACTGTAGCAAAGTGATAGAAAAATTTAGCAAAGATGGAACTGCAACCATCTCACAGAGACATCTAGGCCATCCGGGGAAGTTAACACCTCAACAGGAGCATCTTCTGATGAGAATGATTGAAGAAAATCGCCATGCAAGTTCACTGTAGTTACAGTAGCTAAAGAAATAGAAAGCCCAACTGGAGTGATTGTTTCCCATGACACAATACAGTGTACAACGCATAGGAATGGCATGCGTTGGTGTTGTCCACTAAGGAAGCCTCTCCTAAAGCCCATGAACAAAAACGCCCACCTAGAATTTGCCAGGGCAATGCTGAAAAAGAAGAAGACTGCTGGAACTCTGTACTCTGGAGTGATGAGACCAAGATATATATTTTTGGAACTGATGGTTTCAAAACTGTATTGTGTCACAAAGGCAAAGAGTGCAAAGAAAAATGCATAGTACCTACAGTGATTCATGGTGGTGGCAGTGTCCTTCTGTGGGGCTGCATGAGTGATGCTGGTGTCGGGGAGCTGCATTTCATTGATGGTGTCCTAAATTCACAGATGTAGTGCTCTATAGTGAAAGAAAAGATGCTACCATCACTCCGTGCCCTTGGTCATCGTGCACTTTTCCTACATGACAATGATCCAAAACACATATCTAAGGCCACTGTTGCATTTCTTAAGAAGAAAAGGGTTAAAGTGATTCAGTGGCCAAGTATGTCTCATGATCTGAACCCAATCGAACACCTATGGGGAATTCTGAAGAGACAAGTTGAGCATCCTTCTCCATCCAGCATCTAGGCTCTAAAAGCGGTAGTTCTTGAAGAATGGAAAGAGATAGGTGTTGCATTATGTTGTCAACTTGTTCTTTCCATGCCTAGAAGACTTGGTGCTGTCCTTACAAATCATGGGGGTCATACAAAATACTAGATGTAGTAGTTTTTGTTGTGGGTATATTCCCTTTTGCATCAACTAATTTGAGTAAAAAAGATTTTGTAATCTAACTTATATTATTAACCTTACTTTTATGTAATGAGCTAATCAAATCTTCTATAAAACTCAGTTTTGTCAAAATGTTGGAAATTGTTCTTGTGTTCATTGATATATTGATTAAAATCTTACTTCTTAAAAGGAGTGTACTCTCTTTTTTTTTCATTACCATTCTGTTTCAGTTTTTTAGTTTAAATTTGACATTACTGGAACTACAAAGAGTACATTGGGGATTGTGGTGTAAAATGAAGTATCACTTTAAGTTTTACAGAGAAAATTATAAATATAGTTCACAATGTTAAAGGATCAAATATTTTACCACGGGAAACTGACGGAATGGCCAGAATAAATATATATTTTGGTTTTTTGAAGCACAAAGAACAACCCTAAGCAACATTAAGAAACACTATTCTAGAGTGTGTGTTGCCATAGTAACCTTTCCCAGCTATGAACACTTTAATCTTATGGATTAGTGTTAAGTGTGTATTGTGAATGTTTAAAGCCTATATTCATGGCTCTCAAGAGATTATTTTAAAGTTGAGGAAAAACAGAGCAAAGACAAAAGGGACAAAAGGAACACTTTTTTTTTGTTCAGTGTTATAAAAAATCCTTATAGTACTCAGTGGACGATGACCTACTAGTACAGTATAATCTTTTATCAATTTCAGCAGTAAGAACACCCAACAGTTCCCATTCATAAGGTATCTGAAAGTAGGCAAAGTGCATTATCCTACAAGAGGTTCTGGAAATTACCCTATGGAAAATTGCAGAAGCTTAACTGCATGATTTTTCTAATTTTCATAAACATTTGTTTTAATGTCTGTTTTGTTTAATGGTGCACCTGCTAAGCATCATAAAGAAAGCAGCTAGCAAAAGATTGTTCTTTTTAAAATGGTGTGCTATAAAGGGGTTTCCTGCTTTACCTGTACACAAAATTATTAATTCATGCTTGAACATAACAGTTTAAAGAAGAAAAAGGCAGAATATCTGTTCAGGTGTCATTGAAAATTGACAGATTATCCACAAGCATCAAATTATTTCTCCTTTACCCAAAAGTACATTGATTAGAGGTCCGTGGGACCTTTTTTTTTACTGTCCCATTACTTTGCTTACTCATATTCCACCCTACCTCTTCACTCTCTAAAAGGGGATCAGAGAGTGTGAAAACATGTGGAATCCCTTATTTCTGCTCCAAAAAGTTGAAATGAGGTTTGGGTTTGCCACTGCCATGGGTTCATAGCATGTCCAGTATGTTCAACAATTTCAGGAGAGCATGTAGTATGGACTTTATAGGCATGTAACCTCACAACCAGGGGCGGACTGACCATTTGGAAACTCGGGCACTGCCCGAGGGCCCGGGGTCAGTAGGGGGCCCCATGAGATGAGCCTGGTACCTTTTTCATAGGCTTTTTTGAGTTTGGGCAAGGACACAGGGCCCCATGATCCCCTATTGCCCGGGGGCCCCATAAGTTGTCGGTCCACCCCTGCTCACAACCAATGTTTGTAAAACTACTATCTTTATTACAACTTTAACAGTTAAGACAAAAGGTGTATACAGTTATGCATAACAGCAATGGCTCAACATTACAAGTCACAATGGCACTAGATATGATGAAATAAAAAAAAATTACATTGGAAATTGTTACTTTATACTCTATCATATATTTCATATATAATCCAATGTAATCTATACATGGAGTAACATTTTCCAATGCAATTTTTTTATTTAATCATATCTGGTGCTGTTGTGACTTGTAATGTTGAGCCATTACTGTTATACATAATTGTATATACCCTTACCTTTTGTTTTAACTATTAAAATTGTAAAAAAGATAGTATTTTTTACAAACATTGGTTGTGAGGTTACATGCCTATAAAGTCCATATTACATGCTCTCTTGAAATTTACTGACTCATGGATGTGGCAAATATTGTATTTTCTTGCGAACAAAATAAGAATGGTCCAGCGAGCGCTAAAGCAATGAAAATATAAGCAGCTGATACACTAAAAGGAAACCTTAAAACCTCTCAAGCATACAAAATATAAAAAAGTGCAGCGCTAATGAACAATTTGTTTATAATGGATCTGAGGCTAACCACAACCTCGAATAAAATCAGTATAAAGTCCAGAGAAATAATGTCCAATATTAATAACAAATAGATTAAAAACGGTGACTTTGTTACTCCCAGTGAGGCACACGCTAGATATTGTGTAGGAAATATAAGAAATGCGCACTCACCAGATGCGCAATAATAAAAGCCAGAGGTCCCCTCTTGTCCTATGGAAGGTGCAGCTCACACTGGGCAGGCTCTCTCACAATAATGGCACCTTTAGAGGTCTTCTACTGGTGGGGGCTGGTGGAGGGGCAAATGAGTCACTCTCCTCTGGGCCTCGGGAGAGTCACCATAGGGTCCTGAGGGATTAAATACTCGGCGTGGAGCAGAGAATAGTGGCCATAGTGTAGTAGGTCAAAATCTCAAATCTTTATTAGTAAATCAGAGTAGTGAACATACATAGAAAGAACTTGGAGGCCTTCGCCAGTGAAATATATGTAGGTCATACAGCAAAAACTGTTCAAGTCACTAACCAGCTGGGTAGTTATGGAGGCCATCGGACCTCCTTGATCCGGTGGCGTGACGTCTCAGGCATGTGTGTTAAGGCTCCTCCTTAACGCGTTTCGCACACCAAGTGCATTCTCAAAAGGGGTATTGCCATAGCAGCTTGGACGTCTGTGCTGCACTATTTATAGATGTATTTGGCATTACAAATGAGCGGGTGCCATTTTGCCAATGACCGGCATGAACTGAGCATGTGCAGAAAGTTTGCACGCCATTTTCTTGTTGCCCTCTCAAGCACTGAGCAGCTGACAGCTCATAGAGGTGTGCACAAGCTTTGTGGTTGAATTGGTCATCTTAGGACAGTGCCCCTACAGCAATAAGGCTGGATTTGGTGATTATATGGCGAATGGCTGAGTCCTGTGAAGGCTCAGTATCCGCGAGTGTGATGATCCGTAATGCGCATGCGTGGAAAAAGACGGGCGCCATTTTCCCAGAGTCCCGGGAAAGCTTATGAAAAAAACACACACTGGATGACAATCGCCACCAACCATTCAGAATAAAAGGTCCTTAATCTCTCCTGTATGAAAAGGTTACATAAATAAGTATTAAGATAAGGTAAAGGTAAAAAATACACAAGCGCATCTATACCCAATGCGCATGCGCGGGCAGACTCCAGTGCTCCCTGCTGTCCAGCCGGTCATCCTGTTCCATGCTCCAGGTAACAACTCCATAGTGTTGTGCCTTGTTTAACCCCTTATGAGCCTACTTATATTCTCCTACATGTGAGTGGTTTTATTTCTGTTCACCATTAAATATTTACAGTCTACACTCAGAGGTGCTGTGTTTCTTTTCTTATCTTATGCTTACATACTGTCTTGCCACTGAACTATTTTTGTGGCTGTTGTCTCTCAGAGAATACACCCTAATTTGTTTTTGCAACATAAAACCTGCCTTGTCTCTTTCTATTTGGTACCTATTCGAGTGTTCATGTAATGTCCTGACTCTAGCAAATTCCTACCAAACATCTACATGAAATTTAAAAATTAAATATTATGGAAATAATTGGAGATCCTGGGGTGGAAGGAGGTTTGAAGAATGTGGAGTTGTGGTTTTGAAGATGTTTGTATATTCTGACATTTTTTTTAACTTTTTAACTTTAGTACAATGCAGTGTATTACTGTGAACATAAAAGCTTACTAACAGTATTAAACTGCTTTTCCACTGGCTGTGCAAAGTTGACAGTTTTAGCTTCATTTTTTTAAGAGTGAACCTTTCTATATCTTTTAATTTGTTGTAGGTGCTATTTCCACTATTCAATTAAGGGCTATTACAGAACAAAAAAACAGGTGATACAGCTAAAACTACCTCAAAAAGCATCTTTAATTTGAATAAATCTACTTGAGTTCATGCTGCTGTATTTAAGCCAAACTAAATGAAAATGTGAACAAAATCACCAACACACCCAACATACAGTATGTGATACCAGAATATGGTGTTGTTCTTGCTGTCCAAGAAGATCACATTGTTCTGTAACACCATGTGCAGCTTAAAGGTATCTCCTAAGCATGTAATATAAAGGGACTGTTTTTCCCCAGTTCACCCTCTAAAAAGGTACAATGCTGCTGAAATTGTAAAAACTCCCATGGAAGTTGCCTAAGATCCTTAGAACTGGCAGGATCACCAGATAGAAATACAGTTGTGTCCAAAATTATTCAACCCCCAATGCTGTAAAGGGGTTTAGGGACTATAGTGTACATTTGGAATTGTATTCAGAATCAAATCCTACAAGGACGTTGTAACTACCCAAATGCAACTAAAATGACATCAATTGTTTATGTAATACAGTAGTAATGGTTCTTATGTGGTTTCTTCATTGCCACAATTATTCAACCCCTTAAAGACTACCACTCTGAAGAACAGAGGTTCATACAGGTGCTTTCCATCAGGTATTGAAAACACCTGTGGATGTCACCGAGCAGCAATCAAGCATAATAAGCACCAATTAGGCAGCTTTAAAATGACTGTGATACTCAGCTCCTTCTAGACATTTTACTGGTGTGGTTACAAACATGGTGAAGGCAAGAGAATGGTCCAGGAAGACAAGAGAAGAGGTGATTTCTCTTCACAGGAAGGGCAATGGCTATAAGAAGATTGCAAAGATGTTAAACATACCAAGAGACACCTTAGGAAGCATCATTCGCAAATTCAAGGCAAAGGGCACTGTTGAAACGCTACCTGGTCGTGGCAGAAAGAAGATGCTGACTTCGACTGCTGTGCGCTACCTGAAGCGTAGAGTGGAGAGAAGTCCCCGTGTGACTGCTGAGGAACTGAGAAAAGATTTGTCAGATGTGGGTACAGAAGTTTCAGCCCAGACAATAAGACGCACACTGCGTAATGAAGGCCTCCGTGCCAGAACTCCCAGGCGTACCCCCTTGCTGTCTCCAAAGAATAAGAAGAGTCGACTGCAGTATGCCAAAAGCCATGTGGACAAACCACAAAAGTTGTGGGATAGTGTTCTGTGGACTGATGAAACAAAATTAGAACTGTTTGGGCCCATGGATCAACGCTATGTTTGGAGGAGGAAGAACAAGGCCTATGATGAAAAGAACACCTTGCCTACTGTGAAGCATGGTGGAGGGTCAATCATGCTTTGGGGCTGTTTTGCTTCTGCAGGTACAGGGAAGCTTCAGCGTGTGCAAGGTACCATGAATTCTCTTCAGTACCAGGAGATATTGGATGGAAACGTGATGCAGTCCGTCACACACCTGAGGCTTGGGAGACGTTGGACCTTTCAACAGGACAATGATCCCAAGCATACCTCCAAGTCCACTAGAGCATGGTTGCAGAGGAAAGGCTGGAACATTTTGGAGTGGCCATCGCAGTCACCAGACTTAAATCCGATTGAGAACCTCTGGTGGGACTTAAAGAAAGCAGTTGCAGTGCGCAAGCCTAAGAATGTGACTGAACTGGAGGCCTTTGCCCATGAAGAATGGGCGAAGATACCCGTAGATCGCTGCAAGACACTTGTGTCAAGCTATGCTTCACGTTTAAAAGCTGTTATAACTGTAAAAGGATGCTGTACTAAGTACTAAGATTGAATGTCACTTGGGGGTTGAATAAAACTGATAATGCTGTGAGCACAGAAAAGACATTTGTGGTTATTTCATTATAACTGTTATGTTATATTTGTCTGACCTACAAGTGCCTCTTTAATGTAAATGTAAGCAAGATGACTGAATGATCAAAAGCAATGTCAAACTGGCCAAAACACTCAATTTCAGTGGGGGTTGAATAATTTTGGACACAACTGTAAGAAAGAATAAAGGATACACATAAAACACATAGTGCAGGTAAGATATTATTCTGTTCATTTTCTATTTAAAGTGTATTTCCACTTTTGCAGCCAAATTGGGATAACACCTACTTTCGATTTGTTACTTGTATTTATTCACATAGCATTGGTGCTACCACCATTGTGTGACATTCCCTGGATGTGGGACTAAATGCTATCTTCCACAGTAACAGTTTCATGGGTCATCTTTTGCTGGCTGGTGACTAGCTATGGTGGTCTATACTGAGTGGGTGGAGATTCCCACTTGTTCCATCATATTTTTGATATTGTAGGCAACATTTTATTTTAATCAACGTACCTTCTTACTTGCACCCCTCCAGGGGGCGGACTGACCATTTGGAAACTCGGCACTGCCCGAGGGCCCG